CTGGCTTCTGTTTTGTTTTCAATTCAATTTACTCTACAAGTATATATTGTGATTTGTTTCCCATTCAAATAATTTCTTGGTATTTTCATGGCGTTAAGAAATTGCACATAACAAGCAAAAACTTGTTATACCTACGTACATATGTAAGGGTATGTATATAAGACAGGCTAGATGTTTAAATAATATACTAAGTAGTTATTTGAAACCTTTTGAAAACTGCATTTAAGCTTGTACAGCACTTTTCCAAATGCATTTCAAAACATTACACAAATTTTAATAAACAACAAACAAATATAAACAACAATAAAAAATTAATTGAGTCACGTTATACTTGTAGCAGCTAGTCCCTTAAAACTATTAAATGGCGTTATCAATCAGCTTTTTAAAGTCAGTTTATCAGTTTATGCATCGATTTCCAATTGCCTCAAAACTATGGTTTATTTATTTGCTGTTTTTGGAATCCCTTTTGAGTTTTCTAAACTGAAACTTCTTTAGAAACATTACGTCTTACGATTGTGATACAAATATGGGACTGAGTTTCAGTTAAAAAATAATGTTAACTAAAGCAGCTCTAGACTGCTCTACTCTCAACAATTATAAGCTCTATTTAATTATGTTTTATTGGGCTCTAAAACATTGCATCGTTTGCAGTCCACTGTGCAACTATGCTAGAAACTAGTTAGTATGCGACTACGATTAACGGTGCACAGCACACAGCCAGGATACCGTATAAAAAACTACTAACAACAACATTGAAAAAAGGTAAATGGGTGAGAAGGAGCACTGGTGGTTGGAGGGAGGGGCGGACGTAAAATGGAAAACAACAAGAAAAAAACGAAGAAGCAGAAAACTGAAGCAACTAGCCAACACACGCATAAAAAGCGCTGGAAAATCTATACATCTGTCTATGTCTGAGACTTACGTGTTTGCACAAAAAAAAAAAAACATACAAACATCCACACATCTACATATAGTATGTATGTATGTAGCCATATATCTAGGTGTGCGACTGCAACTGTGTCTGTCTGTCTGGATGTGTCTGTGGCCGTTCCGTCTGGAACTGGTCTCTGCCCATTCTGTGCTTTGTGGTATGCATTTCCAAATCAATTGTTTAAAAAACGTAAAGGGAGGACTGCGACTGACCAAAGAGACATATGCGAGCTGTCCCGCTGTTGTTGTTGTTGTTGTTGGTGTCACCAATATGCCCGCCCGCCCATGGCCCCCCGCCATTATCCCTCAAATCATTGCTCCGAGTCGGTCGTGCTCTTGACTGCAAAATGCAACACGCGTCCTCGGCTCGTCCCTATACACTCGTACTTGCGTCGCGTCGTTAGAACGTGTCGTTTTTCACTTGCCGGCCACTGCAGGGGCTTCGGACGACGACCGAGCATGTCACGTCCTTAAATTACAAAACAAAACTAACAACAACCAAAAAAAAAAGGAAACATTTTTACAGGCGCTAGCAAAGCAAACAAATCGTTGCAAAAACATGGCAAAGGATCGATCGGCAATAAAACTGAAATAAGATGCGGCTGTGTTTGCTTAAAACATTAGCGACTCAATCTCGATGATCGATTTTACAGGAGCCCGTCGAGTGAGTTCCCAAAATGTTCGAGGAGACACCGCAGGCGCTCTCTTGTCTGCATGTCCTTTTGCCAGTTGTGCGGCTGCGGCGCTAGCAGCGTTTGTTTAGTTAGGCAGCAGTTACAGGAGTTACTGGAAAAGATTTTTGGCCCACAATATAACATGACGACGGACTATTAATAAAAATGCGTCATTTAAGCAAATAATTGAGGTACAGGAAGCTGCGATCTGCGCGAAGAGGGGCACCTAAATAAACACAAATGACGTGTTGCCTGTTTGTAATGTTATTTGTAATTGTAATTGTCGTTGCCGTTATCGCTGCTACTGCTCCTGTAATTGTTGTTGTTGTTGTTGTTGCTTGCACACTTTTACTTTTTGCGCAAATGAAGTTGTACACTGCACGGCACAGTGAGGACTCTATTTAAAGGCAAAACATGACGCCATTAGCAGTCGAGTCGAATGGTTTACATGAATTAACGATATATATTTTATAGAGGATAGTTTAAGAACTAGAAGTGGTCAGACAGACAAACAATTTGCGCGCAAATATGCACCCTAGTCTGCTGGATTACATGTATTGAAGATATAATTGTTCAGACAGACCAACAATCTGCCGCCATTAAAATTCTAGTCTCTTGGCTTATATGTATTCAAGATATATTATATTCAGGGATGTTTCAAGAACTGCAACTGGTCAGACAGACAAACAAAGCAATCACAAAAGGATTGCTACTAAAAAAAATTCGAAAAAATCGAGTCGCTCTACCAAAAAAGAAAAAACCATTAGCATTTGCAACTAAATAATTGTTTTCACTAAGAGTGAAAAAAATAAAATAAATTGGAACATTAAACAATTCAAATAGTAGATTTAAGGCTGCAACACTCTCTTAATTCGCAGTTAGACTGAGAAATGTGGTTACAAATTTCCTCAAAGAGAGCACTAATTTGAACATAAATCTGCCGGCATTTCTTAAATCTTAATCTTTTACACTAAATCCTCTTAAGCACGACAATTTTGAAGTTAACGACAGCCTCGACCCTCTACAGTAAACGCTTTTAATGTGTGTATTTTTACAGGCTTTGTATAAAGAATTCTTTTATAAATTAACAAGACAAGGCTGTCACATTTCTTTCGCGAGAAAATATACTTTGAGTCCTGCATTGATTTTCAACGTCTCTTTCAATCGAATGGAATTGGCAATCACATTTATTTAAAGACATTATATTATCAATTCTTGCTTTCTATATATAGTTTTCCTTCAGTCAGTCTGAAATATTAACTGAAAACGGTTTTCAAATTTAAAGACAAAACCGCAATTGGTCAACGAAAGATATTCTTTAGACATTTTTGTATAAGCGATACAGATAAGCTTTACAGAAGTAAAAGGCGCGGACTTAAAGCGGTTTCAAAAACGTACGCATTTGAATTTTCCTATATCCTTTTGGGTATTACGATAATTTTTAAAAGCCACTTGATTTTTTGTTCACAAATCATTTCTTCAGAGGTTGAAGATGTTGAAGTTGCAAGTGAATCCCTGAAATTGTTCTCTATGGCTATGCTTTGCTGTAGTTATTGTTCTTATTCATGTTGTTGTTTTTCTTGTTGTTGGCATAACGGGCCGCAGTTGGTCGTCCTGACGAAATTAGCGCAAATTATGCGCGTCTAATGCGCAAAGCAAATGCCTCGAGGGTTGGCAATGAAATTGTCAAAATGCCTTCTGCAAATAAATGGCAGTTGTTGTCACTTCCCTTCCCTCCCCTCCCCAGCGAGTCCTTCTCTCCATCTGTCTGTTTGTCTGCCTGCTATTGCTACTGGTGCCTGGTTTAACAGTTTTTGGGGCGTATTTTTACCATTAAAAATATGCTGCCTGTCGTATCCGTCCTTCTCGTCTGCCTCTCTTCTATTTACATAGCGCTTTTCCTTAAAGTCATATGTGCCCCGCCCCGCCCCGCCCCCGTTCGCCACCAACTTGTTAGCAGTTGTAATTTGTTTGTTTTATGGATTTTGCGCCTTTGATTTGTGTGTGTTTTGTGTGTGCGGGTGCGAGAATGCGAATGCGAGGGTGGGGTTGTGAGGTGGTCGCTGGGGTGGTGTGGCAAATTTAACTCTCCGGGCATACTTGTATGCCTAATTAAACAATTGCCACAATGATATGTGAGAGCGACCAGTTAGTGCAAATAGAGCTTTTCCCCTTACACACATACACACACACATTAGCCGCTCTCTGCCACATTAGGCTTTGAAGTCACAAGTCAATGGCATTCTGAATGACGACAGGTGTTTTAAATAACTTGAAACGGCAATTAAAGTGGGAATGTGGAAATGGAAATGGAGATGTGGGAAGAGCCATTCTCTCTATATTCATTCAATATAATTCAGAAATTTACGTAGATTTGATTATTTTGAAAAGTGAAGTATTCTGCCACTCTTACAAAGCAGAGTTACAGAAACTCTCGACCTATTATCACTGAAAAAAAAAAATCCACTGGTTGGGAGCCAAACGAATTCCCCAAAGCTCGTTTTTTTGCGACCTTCAGCAAGCGGAAGCACTAAGGAGGAGAGGGGAGTGCACAAATCCATCAAAAAATAATGAAAAGTATTTATATTCTGTAGAATTGTAGCTACTTTTTGACTGAAAATTATTTATCTTTAATATAGACTCTAATCCCTAAAAGACAGAATTATTTGTAACATGATCAGAACAAAACATCCTATTATTTAAAAAAAAATTTGTCAATGTGCTGAATGATATTCCCAAATAACCCTCTAACGATACAAACCAAAAAAGTCAACATTTGTTTTAAAATTGGTAAACAAATTAATTAATATTCTCCCTCCAATAATTCTTAAAAATAATAGTAATATAACATTACTAGAAATTGAATTACTCAATCAATTATTTCTATAAGGATTTTATTCAATATTTTTTAAGTCGAAATATGAAGTGCAATAAATAATCAAATAAATGCATAGAATTTCTACTAAAAACGCGTGTCAAAAATGTAATATTCAAGGCAGAATAACTGAAGGATTAAAAAAAAAACGTTTGTTGCAACAAAAATAAAATAAAGAAAGTTTCTATTGACAACGCGTGTCAAAATTTTAATATTTAAAGCTGAATAACTGAAGGATTGCAAAAAAACGTTTGATGAAACAAAAAGTAAATAAAGAAACTTTTTGTGGAAGGCACGGCTAGGACGAAGAGCTGAACTTTAAATTTGTTTCAATAATTCAACCAGGAATTGGGGACAACCACAGCACAAGGATACACCAAAGAGGCCCAACACAAGAGCATAATTGTCGCAATAGAAACCCAAATTTCTAATCCATATAAAATTCATAATAATAACAAAATTCTTAAGAGTTGTCTGCTGCAATATTTCACAAAGATATACAAATAGTTATCTGAACTCACCTGAACTCTCGATTCCGGCAGATTGATCTTTAAGGCGACCTCCTCGCGCATAAAAATGTCCGGGTAGCGTGTCTTGCCAAACAGGGCCTCCAGAACGTCCAGCTGGGCACGGGTGAATGTGGTTCGCTCCCGTCTCTGCTTTCTCGTATTGACGCCTGTTGGGAATGCAATCAACAAGAAAAGAAAGGAAAGAAAAGAGGGGAAAGAAGAAGAAAAAAGTTAGTACAATTAATGACTGGTTCGCGTATAAGGAGTGCCTAACCAAATGTGCTGAAAGCCTTCCATTTCTCTACATAGTACTATCGTGCCACGAACTGGTATGTATTGCCACATTGCGCATACGCCACGTGCGCCGCAAACTCAATTAAAATGCATGCGAGTGGAAATGTACTTGTATGTACTACTTTGGTTAGACCAAGGAAAAACTTTTCCCAGTGTTTTGTTGTTGTTGCTGCTGCTGTGTCGCAACCCGTATTTTTTGCAACCCTCGACGACTGCCGAAATTTCCAACCAACCCCCAAACAACAAGAAAAAGAAGCAGGAAAGAAAAAAAGATTCGAAATGCTGATGGGAAGAAGGACGAAGACCAACCCCGTCGGTTGGCTGCTGTTGCGCAGCAGCCGCCCTGGCTACATACACAGACACATACACATGCATATAATGTAGAAAGGTATGTATATAGCAATATATGCTATATATATGTATGTGTATATACTTAGTACCTTTATGTATGTTTCGGCCTTTGTACTGTGTTGGGTTTTTATATGGCGCACGCTTTTGTTTTGTAGGGTTTGTTGCTTTTGGCTTGCTCTATCGTTTGCTGTTCGCTTGTTCGCGTGTGTGTGAGTGTGACTGTGTGAGTGTGTGTGTGTGTGTGTGTGTGTGTGTGTCTGCCTGCGTGTGTGAGCTAAGCCGCAGCATTGTTTGTTTTGCCAGGGCAGCCGTCGTCGTCGGCATCGTCGTCTCTCGCACATGTGCGTGTCTGTCCCAAATATTCAGAGTTTTGCACCCTTGCCGTGTACAGCTCCCTCTCCCCCCACCCCTGCGGCACGCAATCACCCCTTCTCCCTCTCCCTGTCCCTGTCCTCATTCCACACCATCTCTCTCACTCTGTTGGCAGTCTATCAAAAATTAATGAGTTAGTCATTTCAGTCATGAATTTATAAATTGAATAAAACTTCACTTCACTTGGCTCGCGTCGCTTTTGCAGCAACAGCAGCAGCAGCTGCCGCTTTTCATTTCTTTCTCTTCGTTTTTTTGTTTTTTTTTTAATACACATACACATATACTTATTATGTGCAAGTACGTGTATATATATTTTTCATTTTCGACTTTATGTATTCAAAATGGACGTCCGTTTGTTGCTGGCTAGCTGGCTGACTGGCTGCCTGGCTGGCATCTGTTTGGCTCTCAAAACTTTTGCCAAATGTGCCAAATAAATGATGTCGTTTTTTTGCAGTCATTGCTGTTGCCACAAAATTAATTGCAATTTGTAGTTTTGTCTGTTCATTTGCTTGTTGCCTGCCTTTTTTCTGTTTTCTTTTTTTTTTTTTTTTGCTTTCGACAAATAAATTTATGAATTTATTTTTAACGCCAAAAACCTTGAGCCATGTTCGCACAAGTAGGTTTCTTTTTATACATATGAGTACATTATTATTATTATTTTTTTTATGAACTGCAGCTTTTGAAGGCCGTCTACTAGCTACAAAAAACTGCAATGGACTGATTTTTGTTGTTGTTACTATAATTTAAGAAATATGGTCCAGCAGTTCAGTGGAAAATGTGTGTGGAAGAGGATCAAACCTAGGAAGTTCTTTATTTATTATTAGGTTTTGCCTAACATTTCATGAGCTTGGGTTGAAAAAAATGAAGAAAAAGTGAAAACAAAAATCAATTATTTTTAAAGCACACTATTGTTTAACAAAAGTCAATTATTATGTCTAATTAGACAGACTTTAAAGCACGCTAATATTTATAGCATTTTCTATTTTTTCCTCTTTCCCTTGAATTTAAGTGAAATATGAGAAGTAAATTCCAAACTCAATATACTCTCTAGATCGGTGATTTCTCTACTATTATTCTACTCTATTTTTCATATATATACTTGTACATATATATAAATATTTATTTAATATTTGGAAAACCTATTATTGGAGATTGTTGAAAAGTAATATCCTCTCTAGATCGGTGACTACTCGACACATTTCTTTGCCTCCTTCTTTGAAGTAGCAGGCCTTAAATCTAGTCCCGCTCTAGAATCGTTTAGGGCAGTCCCATGTCACTAATTATTCTGGGCAGAAGTTGCGTTCCCTCTCAAATATTGCACTACTTATTATTCCAATTTCTGATATTCAAAATAATGTAGCTGCTTTGTCCCTACACCCTCTCTAACTGTCCATTTACTACATATTCCTGTGCCTTCTTCATTCAAGAATCAGGAGTCAAGTATAGCGTCCTTTAGCACATGCCCCTATATAGGCAGCGACTTACATAATGCTCACAATTTCCACGTAACATTCTGTTGTCCATTATTAGATATATACTTATATACACGAGTATATATGTAATGCTAATGCATAATAAGCACAGAAATTGATTACATATTATTGTGCTATTATTTGTGGCTTTAGTTTTTCTCTTATTTTCGTTTTTTTTTTTTTTGTTTACGTACGAGTATATTATTATTCTTTTTTTGCACGTTGGCTTTCAAGCTGGCTGTGTCTTTTTGTCGCAACAAAAGAGTTGTTGTTGTAGTTGTCTCGAATATATTTCGGTTAGCATTTTGTATCGGTTTTGTCAAGTTGTTGTTGTTTTTGTTATTGTTTGTTGCTGTTGTCATTTGCTGCAGCGTCACTAAAAATCATGAGCGGCTGGCTGGGCTCATTATTCATTTTGACAATTCAACTGATAATGATGCAATCGCAACGAACAGCCAACAGCGAACAGCGAACGAACGGCATTGAAAAGCATTTTGTGAGCGATTTTCTGTTGTTGTTGTTGTGTGTTTTTTTTTTTTTTTTTTTGGGACCCCACCACAGGGCAACTGGCAGCAGGGAGGGGGACCTGCGGCGAATCTTTGCAGTTGCAAAGTGGACAAGTGGTCGGGACATCCGCCGCCACTCTATAGGAGGGGATATGGGAATTGAGTTATCAGCGAGAGCCAACGATTATGTCTTGACTTTTAAGTCATTTGTCATTGGCAAGTAATAATAATAATGATATGCATAATAATGATGTTAATGGCATTTCTTTCCCTCTCTCCCCCTCTATTAACATATATATTTATAAATATATATTTATTGAAGCTTTCAGCACATTTTTCGCTCACGCTCAAAACGATCTTACGTGTTTGTTGCAGCGCTTGCTGTTAGCATTGAATTGCTGTTGTTGTTGTTGTTGTTGTAGTTTACCAAAATTGTATTGCGATATTTACCCCACATACCTTGGGAGAACCCAACAGCCTCCAGACCATGTGGCAGACCGAAGGGACCCAATGATGGCATCGGCATACCCGGCGGCAGCGGTCCATGCGGCACCGAATGGTGCGGATGTGGACCTCCATAGCTGTGAGGGTGTGGGCCCAAATCTCCCGATTTGAGAAAGCCCGCCGCCATTAAGGCTTCCGTTGAGTGTAGCGCCACGGTGATGCTGTTTTGAATTACTACTCGCGTGCCAAATTAATTCAAACCTCCTCCTTCTCCTCCTCAGAGACCTCAGACCTCCTTCCTCACTACTGAGCCAAAGGGCCAATAATGCCTACTTGGTCTCAGGATCAGTTCAGTTCAGTTCAAGCCTTTCTTCCAGCTGCAGTTATTGTATTGCTGTAAAGAGGAAACCAAATGTTATTACGGAATCAGTTCAATTACCAAATACAAGTTGAATTAAATCTGTAGTTTGATTTTAAAAATAATAACAGAATTTTAACAAAAAAAAAAACCAACTGCATGGTTTCCTCAGGGATGCCAGAACAAAATTGTTAAATGAGACCACACCGACAGTTTCTTTCAAATAAAAAAAGAATCAATAAAACCGATTCAACCTGTCGAAAGTTTTGAGGTAATAAAAAAAACAGTCGAACCTCCTTAATTTTTTGATTGTTTTGAAGTCAATTAAAAATCAACATCATTTTTGATTGCAAATCAGAATCATCAAAGTCGGTTCAAGCATTTTAATAAAAATACAATCGAATTGAGAACATCCTTCTTTCGTTGTTGATTGTTGAACAAGATACTATTACCAAACTCTTCTTCTAAATCGAACTGAATGGAAGTGTACTCGTATTGTAAATACTCAAGTGTTTCAAATTCCAAACTTTATTGAATCTATAGTTTGATTAAAAAAAAAGAATTGTTGATTGCAAATCAATAAGATATACTGTTTTCAAAATCTTCTAAATCGAACTGAATGATGGTGTATCTTAAATGGAATACCATACTATAAACATTGTTGTTGTTATATACTTAAATGATTCAATTTGAATTAATGAATCCTACTTGTATAACCAAATATTGTTTGTCTTTAAATCAATAGTTTGATTTTAAAAAACAACTATCGTTGTTAATTGCAAATCAACAAGATATACTACTGTTTCCAAAATCGTCTACTTAATCGAACAGAATGTACCATAAATACTTGAGTGATTTAATTTGAATAATGAATCCTATAACCAAATATAGTTTGTTCATTGAATCTATAGTTTGATTAAAAAAGAAAACATCAATCATCATTGTTGATTGCAAATCAACGAGATACTCTTTCCAAAATCTTCTTCTAAAACGACAAAAAAACGTACCATAAATGTTGTTAAGTGATTCAATTTTGATTAACGAATCCAATAATCAAATACTGTTTACAAGTTGTATTAGTAGTTTGATTCGGAAAAATTGTTCATTGCAAATCAACGAGATAGTGTTTCTAAAATCTTCTTCTAAATCGAACAGAATGTACCATAAATGTTTTTGTTTATAAATGCTTAAGTGATTCAATTTTGAATAACGAATCCAATAATCAAATACTGTTTACAAGTTGTATTAGTAGTTTGATTCGGAAAAATTGTTCATTGCAAATCAACGAGATACTAATTCTAGAATCTTCTTCTAAATCGAACGGAATGGAAGTGTATTGCAAACAGAATGTACCATAACTCATGTTGTTGTTGTTATTCTTGTTAAACACTTAAGTGATTCAATTTGATTGCGTTTGCTAGCTGGCTGGCTAGCTGTGTTCGATTCAAGATTATTGTTTGTAATCTCTATTAGTAAATCAAAGAACTGAGCAGCACTTAAGATTGTAATTCAGTTTTTACACAGAAAGTTGAGCCGAACCGCCGATAGCCGAGTTGGTGGTGGTGATGAGTGGTAACTACTATCGAGTGGTTACTGCTGCCCTTTATTGAAAGTGTTGTTCAATTTTTGGCCAGATGTGTTTATAATTTGCGTGTGCGCGTGAGCATATAATTTGTTGTGCCAGTCAGTCAGTCAGTCAGTCAGTCGAGTGCCGTGCCATGTTTTGTGGGTTTCTGGTTTCGATTTCGCTTACCACACACACACACACACACACACACATATATATATATATATATATAGATATGTATGCAAGCACAAATGGAGGATGCTTGGCTGCATTCGCATGCATTGAGTCGTGAAAAGGACATGACAAAACAAAACAAATTTTCGGTTTCGGTTTATCGTGCTCGCCAAACTGTCAACGGTTCCAAATTTTCGCTCCGATACAATGCGAGTATGTGTGTGACAAATAGAGAGCTGTGTCTGAGCCTGAGCCAGAGCTAGAGCTAGAGCCAGAGCCTGATTGGGTCGTCGCCGCCACACACTGCATTTTTCCATTTGGGTTGGGTTCGGTGCGGTGCTGTGCGGTCTGTCTGTCTGTCTGTTTTTCCATGTCAAAACAAAGGCCAAATATTACCCAGCTAGTTGACGAATATGAGGTGTTGTCGGTACTGAGGAGGTCTCTCTATGTCCAGTCACTAATCCCGCAATTGCTGGCTACAAATTTCCATTAACACGACGTGCGCCTCTTTTTTGTCTTTCAACGTTTTTTTTTTTTTTTTTTCTATTTCTATGCCATTGGATTCTGTTTTTGTCTTTGTCTTTGCGGTAGTGCTAATTTTTTTCAAAAGAAACGCAACGCAACAACAACAAAATTGGTATAGTTGGTTGACAAAAGAGTTTTGGCTTGGCACTAGCACTTAGGACTTGGGACCTGGGTCGTCCTCTGTCGTCAGTCTTCGTCGCATATGAAAATTAATCCAGGTCGTCTGGCTTAATGCCAAACTATTGTTGTGCCTCGCCTTAGCCTGTCTGTCTGTCTGTCTGTCTATTGGTCGGTCTGTGTGTGTGCGTGTGTGTGTTCTTACCTCTGTGCCGTTTAGTAAGTGTCTGTACTAATCCTGTAGCTAAGCACAGATCAAAGATCTTTAAACCGCAAGCAAGCCCAAAACTACACAGCTCCCTAGGCGGCCATTGCCCAGGCCGGTGCTGCTGACGGTTTCTATTGCTGCTATGTCTGGCCAACAGGCCTTCAGGTTAGGTAATCTCGCATGGCGGTCCAATTACACTAAAGCCGAAATATCCAAAAACCGCCATTAAAACCGACTAAAGCTGGCTGAACTCTCTTTTAAAGTATAGCTGCCTTTTTAATTTAAAATCTACTTTTTAAAAGAAAGCAATGGTTTATTAATTGGAAGCTATTTTTCTATACACAATGGCAGCTAAATAAATAAATATACATCTTTTAAAGTAAAGCTGCCTTGTTAATTAAAAATCTACTTCCTAAAAGGAAGCAATTGTTTATTAATTAAAAATCTGTTATTAATTAAAACTCTACTTCCTAAAAGAAAGCAATTGTTAATTAATTTGAATTTATTTTTCTATAAATATTAAATTTAATTAAAGAACGGAAAGGCGCTATAGTTTTGAATTCAATATTTAATTGTCGGGTACAAAATTTCCTCAAAATTAGGTCAAAAATTTCTTAAATTAAATAAAATTTCTCTACCCTTTACGCGAATTATTACAACTGCTGAGAATCAAGTTGGAATATACTATAGTTTAGGGATAAGTTAATAGAACACCATCTTTAAAACCTTAATTGCTTTGATTGGCAAGCATTTTTCGGTGCTCTGCCAGTCTTCACTGTAGCACAATGCCCGGCTTACACGTACGATGTATATCTCTGCGGCAAAAAGTCACTTCTTTACTTCTTTTGGCAAATGTGAGCAACAGACATACATATGTAGAAGAAGAACAAAGACTAAGAACTAGATGTTGAACAAAAAAAAACGTACACTGCTGTTAGTACGTGATTTTCTTGTCATTTGCTTGTCGCCATTCTGATTATGAAAAATCATGGCAAAAAAAAAAAAGAAAAAATAGGAGGAGAAAAGAAAAAAAAGAGCAAAGGCAGCGCTCGCATTTTACGAGTTGCGGGTCCCAGTTTCTCGTCCAAATCATTTCGGCTCAGCATATATCACGTACACGCACTTTCATTAAAAATTCAACATTCTCATTTTCACTTTCGGTTTCAGATTCAGATTCAACTCCAGCTTCAGCTTCAGCTTCCGGCGACTCTCGCTATCGTCGTCGCCCCCGCTCAACATTTTTCCAGAGCAGGCAGAGCAGGCCCGGCTTGAGCTGAGCTGAGCTTGAGCAGCCGCAGGCGCTCTTTTTTTTTATTTTATTTTATTTTTTTTTGTATTTGTTTTTAACCTCGATAGTTGGTCATCGATACTGAGAGACTGGTTGCTATATATACTTGTAGTATTCACTATACACTAGATGTTTTGATTGTGATTCTTGAGCGCGGTGCGTAATATTTTCCTTTGCTTGCCCGTAATTACGGTCAAAATAATATTTTGAAACTACGGACAAGTGCGACAAGCAGCGTACACGTACACGTACACGTATAAGTATACGTACAGAGCAGGCAGGCAGGCAGGCAGGCCAGCAAGCGCGATTTGAAGGTAAACAGCCTTAGGAAAATAAACAAAAACAGTCGAACAACTGTTCGAGCTGCGACTGATGGACTGATGGACTGTCCGATTGAATGATTGTATGACGACTGCAGACAACTGACCAGCGGCACTTTTTCGGCTTGACGCGCCCGCACTTTGTGCGACAACTATCGACACAAACACACACACACACACACACACACGCACAGAGAGAAATAATAATAATAATGATTATAATAATAGTAATAATGAAGTAAAAACGGTAGCCGTTGTAATGGATCAGCGTATCAGAAAACAGAAAACAGAAAACAGACCAGAGAGCAGAAGCACTCCCAACATTGATTGGGCCATTGGGATTGTTTTGATTTCATGCGGTACCCTTACCCTGGGAAAGTTCCAAAAATTGTGGCCCTAGTTTTGTGGCTACTGTTAATTGCTACCCACTTGGGCAAGCATGGGAATATATATTTCTTTTTTTTTTCCTACACTGCTTCAACATCTTCTCCATGTCTTCGATGTTGCTAAAAAAAAAGCAGAGCTTTGTGTAGTGGTCAGTTTTTTTGTGTATTTTGTTTTTCTTTTAGCAAATTTCATATTTGTTTTGCTGCATGATTAATGACATTGTATTTGTATTTGTCTTGCCAACCAACCAACCAACCAACCAACCTATCTACCAACCAACTAAACACATAATACCACGTCTTGAGCAGAGAAATGGCAATGCTTGTTAGT